ACACTACCTGAGAATGCTTCCACAGCAGCTTTATCTTTCCTGGCCCAATGGTTCTGGAGAAGATTTTTTTTAAATGCCTTTAATTTTTCGTTAATTCATAATTATCTCCCCCTGCAGAGGGCGTGACCCTTCATTTGAACAAACTTGAATTCCCTTTGCACATGAGAACTTTGTGGTAAGTTTGGTTAAAATTTGCCCAATCTTTCTTGAGAAGAATATGGAAATGTGAAAAGCTAAAATACGACGACAACGACGACAACAACAACATCAACGACAGACAAGGGACAAATTTTGATCAGAAAATCTCACTTGAGCCTTCGGCTCAGGTGAGCTAATAATATTTCAAGCTTACGGATTTGAAAAAGTTTTTAAATAAATAATAAATCATTTTAAAAAAAACGAGGATATCGGTCAAATACTCTCAATATAAACAAAAAAAACTGTTCTCGTTTTCTGATTTATTTTGATTATTTCTTTATTAAATTATGCATTTCTTTATTTCTTTATTCATTTATTTATTTTTACATTTATTAGTTTTACAATTTAGCCCCCGATTTCACTGAAAGTGGGGGATAATTTGGGTCTGTCTGTCTGTTCGTCTAGCTGACTAGTTGTCCGTCTTTCTTGATGTATGTCTGTTACACTTTCGTTTCCGAACGGTATCTCGAGAACCCTTTGAGCTTTCGCAATAAAACTTTGCACAGCAACTCGCTATGGCCTAAAAAGAAAACCTATCGCATTTGAGATCAAAAGGTCAAGGTAAAAAAAATAATAGATTATGGATGTTTTAAGACTCTAGTTTCCACGCAATATCTGGAGAATCCCTTGAGCTTTTGCAATGAAATTTAACATAACAGCTCCCAGTGGTTTAAGGAAGACGCACATCAATTATGAGATGAAAAGGTCAACGTTCAAGGTCGTAAATCAAACATTCTTTTTTTCACTTTCGTTTCCGGGTGATATTTCAAGAAGATTTTGAGCTTTGGCAATGACATTTTATACCAAAACTCCCTAGGGCCTCTTACCATTTTCAAAGTGTCCGCCACGTTTGTTGTACTGCAGGCCGAAGGACCGAGTTGCTCTATACATATAAGTTAATGTGTTGGTGTATAGGATTGGAAGTGGGAGAAGTCATTCAAAATAAACTATATTCTAAACATTTATATATGTTTTTCATATGACATATATAAAGTTGCTTACGACAGGTCCCCTTTTTTAGAACATCGAATTTTACTCATCACATAAACACGTACTTTTCACAGTTTGTGTTTTAAATTCTTAAACTGAAATATATTTTTGATGAAACGTTATGCATATGTCTGGTTTCAATTTAAATTTTATGCAGCTTTTACTTGAGGAATTGATAAAATTGAAAAGAGTATCCCTTTTGTTCGATTTTCATCCGAATTAACTTTTTAAAAACTATTCTCAACTATCGTATCCATCATTTAGAGTCGTGCTTTTCTCCAGCATATCAGAGCGGTTTGATGATCAAGAATCATTTCCATTGTTCACTTTTTTTTTAATTTTCGGGCGACAATTGATGGTGACATCAATATTTTCATGTTATTATTTATTGTATTAAATGCCGCTTGCCACTATTTTTAGATCAGGGGCGTGCGAAAAGTCATAACACAGATTGTCGGTGGACTTTTTTCCTATTACATCTATTAGAACTGCTTAATAAAGGCTAAATAAGAGACCATGCATCTATCTAAAAATGTATAATGTGGGTAGTTATCATTGAAATATCTATATAGCGTTTCCGATTAAATTCTGTTAAGATTCATATTTTTGGAGCTCTTAATCTTAATTCCTCTTTGTAATAAAGCGAATAAAAACGGTAAAATATTTAATAAATCCAAATGATAGTAAAATACTATTCCAATCATTGTCACAAAGTATGGTGCTTCCTCAAAAAAATTGATTAAAAGACAATTGAAATAATTATTTCATTGCAACTATGTTAAAAAAAATAAATACACATTGTTAATCATTGAATTCCGAATTATTAACTAATTACAAATAAACTCATCATTAATGAAATTCTGCTTATATTGTTGTTCACTCTCATTATTGCTCCTTTTAAACGTAATCACCCCTAACATTAAATAAGGTCTAGCTATAAAATCTAAATGTTATAAATCACTACTAACGTTGAAAGCATCCTTTTAGCCAATTAGCTAACCTCGACGAAGTCGAGATGAGCTTATGCTATACCCCCGGCGTTGGTGTCGGCGTCGGTGTCCCAGGTTAAAGTTTTAGGAGCAAGTCCATTCCTAAATATCTATAAGCCATAACTGAACTAAACTTGCATGGATGATGCATATAGGTATGGACACTACCAGACTCGCTTCGGATGCTGGATCTGACATACATTTTCCAGATGAGTGACCAGGTTAAAGTTTTTGGAGGAGGTCTATTCCCAAGAAACTATAAGATCTATCAGGACAAAACTTGCATTGATAATGCATCTAGGGATGGACACTACCAGACTTGCTTCGGATGCTGGATCTGACCTATATTTTCCAGATGAGTGACCAGGTTATAGTTTTTGGAGCAGGTCTATTCCCAAGGAACTATAAGCCCTACCGGGACCAAACTTGCATGGATGATGCATCTAGGAATGGATACTACCAGATTTGCTTCGTATGCTGGATCTGACCTACATTTTTATTCCTGAGTAACTATTAGACCTACCTGAACCAAACTTGCATGAATGATACATCCAGGGATGGACACTACCAGACTTGCTTCGGATGCTGGATCTGACCTATATTTTCATTCCCAAAGAACTGTAAGCCATACCTGAACCAAACATGCATGGATGATGTATCTAGGGATGGACACTACCAGATTTGCTTCGTATGCTGGATCTGACATACATTTTCATTCCCAAATACAGTGGCTGGAACGTTATTGTTGACAACTTACGCGAACGATCACGTTACACGAACGATTCCGCACGATTAACGCACTATTAAACCTGTTACACGAACGATCTTTCACGTTCACGATTCTACACGTTACACGATCTTACACGATTGTTAACGCAAACGCACGTTTCTTCACTCAAAATAGTTCAAAATATTTAGGAATCAATATTTTCAAAACGAAATACGGCTTAATACTTATTTAAGATTTCAAAGAATTATCAATATTATTTCATAGACTTTGAAGAAAGAAAAACGGAAATTGATATCTCTGTAACTAAATATATGCAAGACTTAATATTTTAAATTAAAAATAATTATTTCTAAGGTAATTCTCCAATCAAAGAAAACGGATTTTGTTCGTTCTATTAGACGATGTACATGGATGTGGGTCGTATAATTTGATTGAATTGGATATCATGATATGCAGAAAGGGGTATACGACTGAACAAAAATGGCAGCATGGATTGACTTAAATTTAATTACAAATTTTATCCTTATGTTCCCAATTCGAATTATGTAAATGTATTGATTCTTATTTTTGCTCTTTTTCAACAAAACGGCGTTGCATAATGGAGGAGGCACCAGATTATTAACCAAGAGGCCCGAGTTCAAATCCGATATTGTGCACGATTTTTTTCTTGAACTCATTATATTCAAAAAAGATCTATGCATAATAAAAATGAGAGAGAATCTTAGACTGTTTTCCCCTTTTTCCGAGTCGCCAGCTTGGCAAACTGGTTAGAGCGTCTGTTCTATAGTCGCAAAGTAAAACGTTGATCATCACGTCGCAGGTTCGAATCCCACTGTGGGACGGTAAGACCGGTTCTAGGCACGCGTTAGGTTCTACTTTATCGACGGTCAAAGAACATTTAAAACCGCTTTATTTTCCTCCTTCTTTTAAACATTTTCCAGGGAAGAAGCCAGCTCTAGAATATTTAAAAGTAGATTTACACTTTTTTGCCAAGTTTACCACTTATATTCACATAAAATATTATATATTATAGTTGTTTCGCTATATTGTCAGCATTGTTGACTTGAAACAATATAATTTTATTTATCATTTAGAGTTATTGAACTAAAGTTTGTAAAATATAAAACGCACTAATTACCTACATAAATAAAAAAAAGAATAGATTGAAAATGGGTAAAAAATATACAGTTTACCTGTGTGGAAAATATTGCTTTGTTTAGTTTTTACAATGTTTTAAACCTTTTGATTTCTCCTTTTTTTAAGTGAAGGCTAAATATTTTGATAAAGTAATCTTACAGTGATATCACAGTTACCTTGGAAAATATTGTTTACGCATATCCTTCGTAAAATACTGATATTAAATTGTCAAACGAATTAGCACATAATTAACTGTTTTAAATCTTTCTCAAGAACGTGTGTTACAATAGTATAAACTAGAGGTACTGTGAGTACTTCGAGCAATGAGCTCACTAAATGATACCCCAAAGATATGTCTCGGATCTAAAAGTTAATAGGAGGTGCACAATGGCACTAGGTAATAAATATTCTGTGATATTCTATTTAAATTTTATTCACAGTTATAATTGCAAAATAGGATTTTTGAACTAGAGATGGGTACCCTATAATGCGTAACGGAAATAGAGGCGGACGGATGGACGGACATATGAACGGATATCCCGATCACTATGTAGTCTCCATTTTTTAAGCAAATGGTATAATAAACGGTTTTGAATCCTTGTCATGGTGTTATTACACTGCATTTGCATACACGGACTATTTTCTCTTTTTATTTTAAACCAAAGCTTTGTTTCAGTGATACATGTAATAGCAATAAACTTTGATATCAATTTGAATTTTGTTTTTACCATTTTGTAAATTTCGTGAATTTTGTGAATATCAATATAATCAATCTTTTCATGGGGCACAGAATAACAACTATATTCTCAACTGTTTTCATAAAGTATATATCCAAGTAACCATAACGAGTATTTCATGGATTCTACGATCACAATTCATTTTATTATAATAGTATTTTACGTTAAATATTGAAATTAGACATGTGTAGAGTCTCTAGACGCATTTAACAATCTGCAATGGTATCCTCAGCAATATACTTGACAACGGGTAACACAATGAAAATCAAAATCAAATGTTTTTCAAAAAGAAATTATTCTTTTTTTGAGCAATGTTCCATACCAATTAGTAAAATAAAGATTTATATTCGGCTTCTGTCTAAATAAGATTAGATTACAAACAGTCATTCAGATCTATCCTTATTTGATAATACCTGTTGGCATGAAAAACTTAAATGGATTTTTTTTCTCAATAAAACAGTTTCACATGCATATCGTTTCACACAACACCAACTATTTCGTAAATATTCATTTTAAGTAATAAATTTGTTGGATAAAACGAAAAACAAACTTAAAGATGGCAATTAGATGGCAATTAAATATATCTGTTCTATGGAAGATTTAAAGTCTGAAAATTACTATGCATATTAATTAATTAACGAACACACAAAACATATGCAATTAAAACAAATATATTCATTTGCTTTTGTTTGAAAAGAATATCAACCAAGTTACATTAATCGTGACATAAATTTAAAAAAGACACCATTATAATTAAAATCCTGACGGAAAATGTTGTACATATTTACTATGCATGAATAATAGGTAAATTATGTCGAAAATTATATATATGTACCCGCCTCTGATGTTTTTATTATTTGGATAGACGTTTAGCTTGAATATTGTTTGTTATCTCTATGATTATGTTATTGTTTCACTTTCTTTAAGATTGTAGGAATGGATACTATGGATCTGGTTGCTCTCTCCCCTGCCCTAAAAACTGTCGTTATTGTCACATAGAAACAGGCGTATGTGAGTGGTGTGAACCCGGATATAAGGGATATCAATGCGAAATTGGTAAAAAATTTAAATTCATATCAATAGAGAATTATAGTCACTTGTCTATCAACACAATTGCCTTTGGAAGGCTTTCTTGCAACCTTTTGCATTCGAATAAACGTTAACGTTTTTCTATGTTCAGCATGTTCTCTAGAATTGAATTCTATTAAACGTTTTGGGCTGTTATCAATAATCTTGGCAGACATGCACAGCCTCCATGCACTAGAAGCCATCAACTTGAAAGCATTTTAGGAGGTGTTGTTCCAAGAATGAGCAACCTCAGCAACCATAAACAAGCTGAAATAAAGCTGACTGCATGACGAATAATATACAATCCAACCACAATCATTATACATATATTTAATTTTCTTCCAATTTTATTTGTCTAATATGTATTGACAGAAAAATATAAGACATTGTTCTCAATCCACATAATATCCTTGATGCAACTCTTTATTATGAAGAAAAAATATTAATTATATAAACGACAAAAAATTATCAGACCTGTATTCCTAATACAGTACATTCCTTATTTTTGCGAGTACTTATTATAGCAAATTGGATCTTTATCATCATCTCACAAATTAATTAGTTTGTGAAATGACTGGTGATCTAGAGAATTAACGTGGATTTTAGCACTACAAAAACTGAAGCAAGAAATTTTATTTCGCGAGGAAAGATAATTTATTTCCCGCGTAAAATTTGAAATATACAGTATGAATATGTTTTTTTTATTATTATTATATTTATATGGGATATAAATGCACTTCAGTTAAAAAAAAATCAGATCCAGGTTTTCATTGTTTTTATGCATTATATACTTTCAATATATTCAATAGAAATATTATGAACGTTATTAATGAATACTATTTTAAAAAGTCACTAAACTCTTTTTAGAAAATCTGAAAAAACAACTAAGTCTTTTAAAGGAATCTGACTTTTAATATTTCTTATTTTTTGTTGAATGCATTTTTTTAATTATCATACAAAAGCAGCAGATTTGCTACTTTTTTTATTTAGTGAGAGGAAATACACATCTAGATCACTTTAATATTTGCAAATTTATTACACATTCATTGAAAACAGTGTTTAAAAGGCATTTCCAGAGGAATTCTATCCATTCCAGGTAACTATAATTGCTTCAGAGCATAGATATAATGAATCACAACATTGTACTTTAATATTCGCAGGCTTGCTAATAAATATTTATATGTACTGCTTGTAATTATATAACAATAAAAAATCCTAAACCTTTGTTGGAGGGGTGTAAAGTTTTTCAATAGTACTTTACCGATTTTTAGTTTCATTCTTTTTATTTTCAGAAGCCTTGCCAAAATGTTTCTTTTAAACTCCAATAAAACCATGATATTATTTAAAAGTAGTTTTATTTTGATTTGAAACTAGAATACAACTACAACACCTTCAGTATCATTTAAATAGATCAGAATATGATAAATATCTCTTTTAAGAAGTATGTCCCAAGTCCTTTCACAATATTTCTTTACATTAATGAAATGAAACTCCAAGTCAAATTTTTAAACTTAAAAAAAAAAACAATAACAATTTCTATATTTTGTAAAGAAAATGCTCGTTCAGATCCAGAACACAATATGAGAGAGAATAATTCGAAATTGGTAGTTTTTTTTTATATATCTATTTTAGGGTTATTTCTTATATAATTTGATAAAAAGATATTCAAAATAAAATGAAAAAAATATGAAAAAAGCAAATAAGCAAACTGTATACCATTACCCCATATGATACTATTTTCACAGAACAACACAACAATTTCTAAGTACAAAACCAAAGCACCACGAACCTTTTTTCTGCACAAACCAAAAATAAATTGACTCCAGCAAATGCTTAAATTTACGGTACTTTATTCAGTACATCAAAAGCGATATATATATATTTTCTTTGTAGTTAGCACAGAGGAAGAAACAGTCTGGCGATTAAGGTTTTACGGTACGCTTGGTGTTGTCGTCGTCGCCGTAATAGTTAATGCCTTTTTCATCGTTATAATCTGTCTAAAATGGTATGTAAACTTATCGAATATTTTGATTTAATTAAATCAAATGCTTAATCATAATTTTGTTACAAAAATCATTTGGAACGTAATGAATCATCAGATACACTTTTAACTTAATTATTTTAAGGAAAATAAATGGACCAAAGGTACAGCAAACCATGAAAGAGTCGTGTACTCCTGAGGCAAATCAAATCTATGATAATATAGAGGGAAACATCCCTGGTGAATACCAGCAATTAGGAAAGCTGGGAGAATCCTCTCAATATGACGCTCTGAAGTGGATGAATGGAGAAAAGATTACGAAGAATCTTATATAATGTAGAAGCTGCAATTGTTTCTCTTTTTTTATTTAATTCTAAGCAAGCCCTTTCATATTTCTGCATATTTTTTTTTATTTCTTAGTCATTCTATCTTGAAGGTTATTGTAATTCTTCTGATACAGAAATGAAGTAATCATGAAAGGCCCATCAGAGAATGCTATACATGATGTACCAATGGACCTTATATGCTTTGAAGTGCATGCAATATTTAGTTTTTTTCTTCTATTTTTTAACAAAAAAATTATTAAATCATGATAAATATAAATCATGATGAAAAACGTCCTCCATACGTCTCAAGCATGTTAAGAATGAAAATCAGCTGAAGGAGTTTTTTTTCTGCACGTATAGTAAGTGCTTTGGATTGACAGCTTTACGTTATCATTTTTTATGAGATCACTTGTTTAGAGTGTGTTATCTATTTGTTCCCCTCAAATACTTCTTTCTTCTAATTGCCATGCATCATAGATAAGTGTGTATTTCCTGAAAATATATTGTTTTGTAAAAATATACCATAAAACATTAAAAAGTTGATGTACACGTGTATTTCTACACTTCTAAAAAAAAGCTTATTCTACGATTTTTTCTTTATCGTGCGGATACAATATAACCTAGTTACACCAACAAAAAACACATACTACACCGGTATATTTCTTAGGTTTTCATCAGTACAAAATATAGATATCGACACAGATGCAAATTACGTAACTTTCAATACGCACGAATACAAACAAACACACACACAAACACACACCCCTACAGTATAAATATATATAGACACACAAAACGCCATTACCATATTCCATCATACTCCATATCCCGAGGGAAAAGAAAATGTCGAAAATGACGACTGTAACATATGGAGATGACGAACGGTATTCAAGTCAAAAAATCCATAAAAAATGCAAACACAAACTCTCCAAACGCTAGAGGTGGGTTCAGGCGCCATGATGGTGTAGGCAACCCCCTTATTATAGAGGTTTTTGTCAAAATGTATTTTTGTGATAAGTTAAGTCAGGCTTAAAACGAAATATTTTGTCGTGAAAACGCAAAAATACGTCTTCCAAAATAACATTGTAAGTCGTAATCAGGAGTCAAATCTCACAAAGCGACCTCAATAGACTAATGAGTAAGAACACAAAAAATTCGGACTGAAATATGTACAAAAGTTAGGCACCTTTTCCTGTGCAACATTCCAAGAATTCCTTCGCTGCCAGGGTTCCAATCAAAGCAAAACGTAAAAAAGACCGCAAATAATTGTTCTTCACCAAGATACGTTTACTTTTCTTTATTTCCAGAAGGCTTAAAAGAAACAAAAATATTATTTTTATTTTTTCTACAACATATTTAATTAATTATTGCACAGTTTTTGTAGGATCGTTCCACCATGTGTTCAGCGGTGTCCGTAAATTCCGACGTCATATGAGGTCAGAGTCTAGACTGTTTATCGTGCGGTTCGACGTTTGAAGAGGCGGAATAACATTTCAGTTGTAAGCTGTGAATAAATTTGCTCTCGCCCCAAAGGTGTTTCCGTAAAAAAAATATTGAGGTTAAGTCTTCAAAAGTAGAACATATGAAATATTCCAATGATGGTTAAGGAAAACATGTCTTCCGCAGCTCTGTGTGACAAAAATGCATGCTGTGTACTTTTAAACCTTAGAATTAGCATTGTACCATACGAAAAACAGCTTCATGGTTGTGTATAAAAAAAATCGATAAAATTTTTACACAACCGATCAAATTAATCTTATCAGTTCTTATTAGTTCTTTGTTGCTTCAATGAAAAGTGATATAATAACGAACAGTGGGCTGAAAAAAACTATAAACAATATAATTTTGTGAAAAGAGCCTAATATGTACGACGGTTGTCCGTAAAGTTGGTGGATTACATTGATAATTTATACAAAATTCATTTTTACAGCACTTCAGTCTCAGAATTATGTTTTTCCTTCAGGTAGTCATCCTGTAAACTGTTCCTTCCGTCCGAAAATATTATAATAATATGCCACGTAAATACTAAAGAATGGCTTTTTTTACTATGTTTTCCCAATTGTTTATGGATTTTATTGGTCTGTAGGTGTTTTTTTTTCCGATGTCTACGCAGAATTTTATCATTGCCCACTGCTGCAACTATTCTGAAAACGTCCTTTTTTTTTTACAATTCCAACCCTGTCTTAATATGTTCTAACTTTGATTGCTCAGCCATTTTGAAACTTTGAAGGTTCAAATTTTGCAGTTTTGACGTCATCCTTATGTCTACCTCATAATGTAAAATACATCATATTTTTGTAGATGTTTATATAATACAAATAAAATATATAAAGTGATAAATATTTTTTAATTAAAATTTTGCGGTGATCCGGGTCTCCATTCCAAGACTAATTTTGAAGTCATAATTATAATTAAACATTTTAAATTGAATAAAACTTTACATTTTTGCATTCACATTTAGTAAAGAATTAGAAATATGCTAATAATAAATACCAATGACGCAACTTTTTTTTTAATTCTTAGCTTGTCCACGAACTTTACAAACAAACCTCGTACCTTTAGAAATTCCATATCTGGTATCAAGTTGTCAGGAGGATTAGGCATCCATGTTGACTGGTCACTTCCGCTTTAACCCCTTTGTATTGATCAAGTAGAAAAGGGTATCCCGTATTCAGGTTCTTTTAAATATCAAAAGCCTTACAGGTGGTAATAAAACAATTCATCCTATGTTCAATACAATAAGAAATAATAACATCATAACGAAAGTAAAATTTGATTAGATCCCCATAATATCAACAATGTTGTCAGTAGCCTGTTTCGATAAAGTTAGGCCACTTTTTTATTAGCTGTTTTTTAAAACCGCCAAACTAAATTTTGACAAATTAGAAAAAAATAAAATTTTTGATATGCATTTTTTTTAACATTGGAAATTGCCGCCAAAAAATAAGCAGCTAAATTTTGGGGAACAAATGTCTAACATGCAAAAATGGCGACGACCAAGGAAAGGAAAATGTCAACAATACACAGTTTTTCCAAAAATCATTGGTCCTACCGGCAAAACCGATAGAAAATCGAAATGTCCGAGATGAAATTCACCGGTCCATGCGACCGATTATAGTAAGGGCTTGTCCTGAATAATATTGTACTCTGATCTACTGTGATGTTTTTAATAAATGAAAATTTTCAATGCAGCATTCTTCTATTCTTCTTTAATATCCAGAATCTTTTCCATTTTGCAATTCTATTTGAGTTCTTTACTTCCAAAAAAGATCTTTTTTTCCTAATCCAAATATCCTTGTGCGAAGCTTATTTTGTTTTACAAAAATAAGGTTTAAAAAGGCCCAGAATATTCCAAGGATTTAAGATGTTGCTGGACAAATGTTGATATTGTAAGTGTTTGGTTACTATTCTTACTGTTTTAAAATACAATAGAATAATTGTTCACAGTCCAGTGTAAGTTTCCTAAAGCTTTTATTGAATGAGAAATTGCATTGGATTTATTCAGCAAGTTTAAAAATGTTTAGAATATTTTCCTTAACATTATTTATTTTAAATTAATTAGGATATGCCCTTGCGCCGACGTTGTTTTTTTTTATGTGTGTTTAAATTTGCCTTGATTGAGAAAGAATAATGACGTCATAAAAATACGTCATAATATGGTCTACCTGTAACATGCTACAAATACTAACAATGAATAAGAAATTCGATTTGAACTTTCTCTGTATAAAAGACATACAAGTTGTGCATTTTTATTTTTTTTACTAATTTGCATCGAAACGTCCATATTTAGCCTTAACTCACTTGCGTAGTTTAAAAAAAATCAACTGTAAAATAAGTGGCTTTTTCTTTCAGTAGTTTTTATACTGGTTCCTAAGATCAACCTAATATAACATTATTTTAAAAAAGCAAGGATTCTGAGAGAAATGCGTAATCAATTCATGTCCACTATCGGGATTTCTTATTTCTTTTGGATAGTAGTTCGTTTGAGAACCAAGAATCTGATTGTAATTGATCAAAAATTAATGAAAAATAATGATAAATTTGCCGTTAAAAATCCATGACGCTGAACGAAATGTAAATTTGTTCTGTAACTAAAAATATATTCCATATAAAAAAATCAGCTCAGTATCTGCACACGTTTTTAAAAAAAAGTGCAGAAAAAATAGTGGAATAGATTGACAAGCAAAGAAACGGCTAGACAGGCAAACAAACGTACGGATGGATGGACGGATAGACTATGACGAAACCTATAGTCCCATTTGGTTTTAACTGTAGAGGATTAAACAGACTTCAAATTGTAAATAAAATTGCAGTGGTCATAAGGGAAAGCTCGTCTAATTTAAAAAAAAAAACTTATTCGTCTAAAATGCACTCACATTATCTTGTTCGATCAAGAGGGTATTCCTTGTATCAATTTTAAAAACAAGAGGCCCATGGGCCACATTGCTTAGCAGAGTAACTTTGGCTATTCAGATTGACCCATTCGTATTTCCTATCTTGACCTTGACAATCCCAAAAGTTTATGATTAAAAGAATCTACAATGCATGTATCCCAGGAAGCTTCCACATATATTTTTAGCTCACCTGAGCCGAAGGCTCAAGTGAGCTTTTATGATCACATTTTGTCCGTCGTCCGTCCGTCTGTCTGTCCAGACGTCCGTCCGTCCGTCTGTCTGTACGTCCGTCTATACATTTTCACATTTTCGACTTCTTCTCAAGAACCAATGGGCCAATTTTAACCAAACTTAGTACAAAGCATCCTTGGGTAAAGGGGAGTTTAAATTGTTAAAATGAAGGGCCAAGTCCCCTGACGAGGGGAGATAATCAAGAAAAGACAAAAATAGGGTGGGGTCACTAAAAAATCTTTTTCTCAAGAACCACTAGGCCAGAAAAACTGAAACTTATGTGGGAACATCCTTGGATAGTGTAGATATTAAATTGCTAAAATCATGACCCCCGGGGATAGGGTGGGGTGTGGGGGTCACAATAGGGAATTTACATAGAAATATATAGAACAAATCTTTAAAAATCTTCTGTTCAAGAAGCACTGGGCCAGGAAAGCTGAAACTTATGTGGGAGCATCCTTGGGTAGTGTAGATATTAAATTGTTAAAATCATGACCCCGGGGGTAGGGTGGGGCCACAATAGGGAATCCAAGTTTTACATAGAAATATATAGAACAAATATTTGTAAATCTTCTCAAGAACCACTGGGTTAGGAAAGCTGAAACTTATATGGAAGCATTCTTTGGTAGTGTAGATATCAAATTGTAAAAATCATGACCCCCGGGGGTAGGGCGGGGCTACAATAGGGAATTCAATTTTTACATAGAAATATATAGAACAAATCTTTAAAAATCTTCTCAAGAACCACTGGGCCAGGAAAGTTGAAACTTATGTGGAAGCATCCTTGGGTAGTGTAGATTCTAAAGTTTTCAAATAAAAAAGGGAAGGGGTTGTTGGGCATGATAGGTATAGCAAGAGGGGGAATCTGGTAAAGATCTGCAACACCCAAGTTACTCAGGTGAGCGATGTGGCCCATGGGCCTCTTGTTTTTTTTATTCCAGTGGTTCTTCAGAAGATTTTAAAAGTGTTCTCCTTTATATTTTTAATGTGAAATAGGATTCCCGATTGTTAGCACACCCTCCCATTGGGGGTCATGTTTTGAACAATTTATATTTCACACTACCCCAGGATGTTTCCACATAAGTTTCAGCTTCTCTGGTCTTGTGGATCCATGTAATGATTTGATTCCCTACTTTGGCCATGCTCTAACCCTGGGGGTCATGATTTAAGCAATCTAGATTGTACATTGCCTCAGGATGTTTCCACATCGGTTTCAGTTTTTCTGACCCAGAGATTTTTTAGAAAAAGATTTTAAATGTATTTTTCTATATATGAGGGTTGATGCAAAAGTAATGTCCATATCTTATATTTGGCGTAATATAATAAGATACAATGTACCGAATGATGCATTAAAAGAAATATTATCAAAATTGAAAATTTTAATCTAATAATGTTGAATTGAATTCATTCTATAGACGTTTAAAACATTAAACATAGGGAGTGTTGTCGCGTCACAAATTAACGTCACATTTTAAATTGTTTATTGTTAGAATGAAAAAAAAAAAGAAATAAAAAATGCATATAAAAAGAATAAAAAAAACGTGTTATGGCCCAATCTTTTAAAAGAAATAATTTACGACGTTTTTTAGTCTTTAGTTAAAAATTAAATGACAACATTGCTATTTTTTTTTTACAAACATTGTTTTTTTATCTGCTGTATTAAACAAAGGTAATGTCAAAATTGAATAAAACGCAGAAAGGAGCTGTAATGCGTTCTTACCTAAAAATCTGAAAATAGCCAGTAGAGACAGTTACGATGATAAATCAGACTCACAGAGGAAAAAATGTAAATAAGATATTTGTTTATAGATGTTTGTGAATATCAAATATTTTTTTTATGAACGAAGGGACAACATTTAACAAGTGTATGACGGCGCATATACGTCATATGACCTTATTTAGGTGCGGCAACTTCCATAATCTCACTTTGTTTATAATTCGATACTTTGAAAAGTATTAATCATTTTAATTAGAATTTCTCAGGACTGATTTGAAATGAATATAGGTTTTATCATGTATAACAATTTTATCGAAGTTGTGAATCACTTTTGGATCTACCCTCGTATATCTTTGTAAAAATTGCATTCCCTATTGTGGTCCCGCCCAACCCCGGGGGTTAGGATTGGTACAATTTAGAATCTACACTACTCCAAGATGCTTCCATGTTATATTCAGCTTTTCTGGCCCAGCAGTTCTATTTTTGTATTTTCTTGATTATTTCCCTTTGGAAGGGGACTTGGCCCTTTATTTAACAATTTGCATTTCCTTTTACCCAAGATTGGTTAAAATTGGCCCAGTAGTTCTTGAGAAGGAGTTAAAAATATGAAAAGGTTAAACACGGGCGGACGGACGACGGACAACGGGTGATCAGAAAAGCTCACTTCAGTTTTCAGCTTAGGTGAGCTAAAAAAAAGAGACACCCATAGTATGTGACGTTATTTTTAAAAAAAAATCGTAGAGGGACGTTTTTTTAATAAACCCGGATATTCAAATTAAGCCCCTAGTATGCAAGTTACATGTATTTTAATACTAAAGCAAGCCAACATATGCTTTTAAAATTTTAATGTCTATAAAAGATCCTATGATAGGTTTATTTCCGGTGTTTATTTCGATTGGTGAGATATATTTTTTTAATGTAAAATCCCTCTCTTATACTTCCTGGTTTCCTAATATTACACAGATTAAGATTATAATAATGTGTGTGTTCCACTACCATCATCAATTTAACTGAAATGCGCTAGACTTGATATGTTTTCTGTAGAAATATATTACTTTGTATTTGCAATCGGTTGTTCACAAGGTTATGGTAAGTTCTTTCCTTTGTTAACCATTTTTGATAAAAAAAAATTCAATTTTTTGTATACATTGCTGTCAAATATTTCCATGTGATTCTCTTTTCATGAATCAGCCTGTAACAGTCATGGAACACACACCTGTGTAATATGTCATATTTGGATATTTTACTTAAAAAGATCTTTATGGTATTTTAGCAACCAAGTTCTATGATAAACGTGATGACTCTTACTTTTCTATCATCAACTTGCCTTACTAATGCCGCAATATACTTTCATTATCTGTATACGGAGTTTAGAGTTCTCAGTAGATTCGATACAGAATAGCATGCACTACGTACGAACAATTTCTGAAACGATGTAATTTATTGAGAAAATTTTTAAATAGTTGATGAGACAAGAATATCAGCATTCTCGTTTAAATTCATCATTTCATAAGTTCTATGGGCGATACAATGACCTTGTCAGCAAATAACAATTTTTCATTGAGTCAAATGCTGACTGATATTTTTCACACTAGTTGTTACTCCATTATTTATAAACTGTACACTGAATTGACAACGGATATTCCGTTATTTCCTGATCATGACAAGGAGCACACGGCGGGTGTGACTGGTCGGCAGGGGATGCTCACTCCTCCATGGCACCTGGTTTCAACTCTGATGTTTTAGAGGTTCATGATTTCTCTACTCCTATGTTATATTGTTTGATGGATTTTTGGTTTTGAGTAATGTTCGTTATCTCCATATATTTGTGGTTTGCATGTAATTTACATGTTATATTGATTCATTGATTGTATATTGTTTAACGTCCCTCTCGAGAATTTTTCACTCATATGGAGACGTCACTGTATGCCGGTGAAGGGCTTTAAATTTTGACCTTTACTCGGCACTCAGGGCCACTGAGCAGTGAGGGATCTTTATCGTGCCAACGCTTGCTGCTGACACGGGGCCTTGGTATTTGATTAAGGTCTCATCCGAAGGACCCGCAACTTTCACTTCAAAGTGCCGAGCGCATGGCGAAGGAACAGTTGCTACCCATTTTATCGACTGGGTCAGTCGCGGCCGAGATGCGAACTCACGACCTCTCGATCACGTTACTTCTTATAAAGAGGGAATTAAGACTTCTTTTTATGGCGAATAATAACATGTAGTATTGCATACAATAAATGTAAATATCCTGTTTTTATTTTCGTTTATTTTTCTTCAATTTGGGGAAAATGCACCACAATATATGTAAAGCTTTAAATTACGAGTTATATTTATAATAATATATTGATATGACTGGTTATCTTTTCTTCTGTCTCTCTTTGATAAAGTATAGAAACATCAGTAGTATAGAAATATCAGCTTTCTAGATTTTGTTTCCCTGAAATCATAGATTAAAAAAGACATTTGTCGGTATTCAAAAATTAGTAAAAACCTCATATAAAGCCCTGGATAATTTTTACATAGGGTCTTCAACTATTCATGAAATTGAAATATTAACAGTTAACTGTAAATCTCCCTTTTTCTTTCTTATGATGAAAAGTACAAAAAAAGTTGTAATGTATATTAACTAAATGTGTTCCTTGTTTTATTTACGGAAGTTGTAACTGCATAACATACAGAGGATGTCTATACTTTTTTTGCCCGTTTGAATCACAATAAAGTGATGATACAAAGTCATTGGGACCTTCTTCAGTAACTTTTATATAAACTTATAAAGTATAATTTGACATGTTTTAAAATTGAAGTCATCGAGTAATAAAAAATGACTTTGAATAAGTTATGAAGTCATGGGGCAATTATACCAAAAAAGATATAGTGTATTAAGAAAGAAAATTTCTCTGCAAGGCCGAAATATTTTATGAAAAAATAAAACTAGGAAAATGCAAAGACTCTTTTTTGTAAAAGGAAAACAAAGACCGCCTTTCAATCAAGCCTAGCAAGAGCACAATTCTTTCAGGACACCATTGCAACATCCATAAGATAAAATGTTGTAATTTTTTTTCAAATGAGACATTATTCAATTTTCAAACAAATACATGTATTACCATCTCCTTTGTTTTTGACTTTAGTTGTTGTGTGTAACCACCAACGTTGAAAGCCAAAATTATACAGAGGAGATAGTGTTTGTTTTACCATGAACTCTCATTCTAAAAAAAGATACAAGGGAAATTGGGGAAGCAGTGAACGTGTCTTTGTTGTTAAATGTTTAATTATTAATTAGTTTATATCGACACATTTAATTTTAACATAGTTCAGTCCTTTGTGAACACATTTTTAAGACTGTTGATTGTTCATTTTAACTTACAATTAATATAAATTATCTAAAATTTTAGAGAATGTGGCTTTGAATAAACAGACATGGCAAACAAACCAGTACAATCAAGGTGACAATCGATTCCACTCCAGTAATGGAGTAGATGGACTTAAGACAAATCTCACAGCTTGGGGAGGACAGTGTGTTATATCAGCTGATGGACACAGCACTGCCACCTGGTGGGTAAACTTGACGTCAGTCTACAGCATTCATGATATAAAGATTTATTACAGGACGGGAAATAAAACATGGGGTAAGTTTATTGACGAACGATGTAAGGAAGTTTGCAAATAATTATTAAAAAGTGATTTATTCAAGGTAAATGTACTTTTTGTAAAGTAAATGGATTTTTTAGTTTGGAATTAATCTTTCGATTACGCAAATAACAATCACGAAGATTAAAAACAATGCAACTTACTATAATCTTTTGCAGATTTTTTTTTCATAAGGACATTTTAAATATCTATTTAGTCGAATCTTATATTGCAGTGTATACTTCTTTAATTTCCCAAGAATGTTAAGGAAGCATATAAATCATTTCTAGGGAAATGTAGACTATTAAAAGAAAATTTTCAAATTTATAAATTTACAAGAACCATTGATAAACGTAAACTATTATTAACTCTTGCATAAAGATAAAAGCGTGTCTGACGCAGAGACGTGTGCCACCACCACGGCATCATGTGACTTCTATTAATAGCGAAATGTTCCTTCATAAAGAAGCTAACAGAACAACAATACCTCGGAGTTTGATAATTTCTTTGAGTCAGCAATATAGTCGAAAAACATCAATTTTGCCTAAAAAGTGCTGCTAGAATCAAACTGTCCTGTCAGTAAAACAATTATTCCACACATTCCCACGAAACCTTACCCATGTTTTGAACTTATACATATAAACCGAGATTTTTCGTAAAACCATGCTTAACTCGGGATTTTAGCAGCACTTTTCAGAAGTTTAACTTTCCTTCTCTGCAAATTTTGTTTTGAAATATCCAGCTTATTGTTGTTGTGTTGCATTATTTTTGTCAGGAATGACAGAGAAAAGGGTGATCGGGATACGTATATAGCTGACTTCTTCGAAAGAGAATATAAACGATGAAAATAATTTAGCATAACTATTTAATTAACTGAACTCCATTTGAATATCACATAATATTCACCATATTTGCTTTTAAACTCCATTTTACCTATCTTGTTCATGTCGTCTTAGCCAAATTCTCTTCACACGACATGATACTTGATGTACACACATGACGTCATTGGTGGTAGATTTTAATCAAAATGACACATACAGCATACAGCAAAGCAAAATTAAAATACTTTATTGTTGTTAATGTTTACATGTTTCTACTCATTTCCTAGAGTTAAATAACATTTCTAAATACCAATATTACGCAAACTTGTGTTCTAAAATTGACGTCATCTCGCCTACTATGATATCATAATATATCACTGATTTTGTCAAGGAAGAATATTCTGTATGCTTCCTTATTACCACTGCGTTTTCTTTTTTGTTTTAATGCTAATTTTCTTTTTTTCTTAAAGTTTCTTAAAGTTTATTATATCAATCGTAAGAACAAAAAATATTGATGAATTACTCATATAGATTTTTATCGAATTTCAGATTCTTCTAATGGTTTCACGGCAAGATTTCTTGGTTTTTATGTCTATGTTTCAAACACAACTGACCGATTAAAGGGACATTTATGTTTCCATGATACAGATTATGACAATTCTACAATATCTGCCGTGGCCAATATACCATGCCCAGTACATGGACAATACGTCATCTACTATAATGAGAGACTCTCAAATGTAACATATCCAGCTGGATATTCCGAAATGGCGCACAATGAGCTCTGTGAAGTAGAAGTGAATGGTGCGTTGTTTACCAAGTAAATTTGTGAAAACCCTTAAATTTCTTTTCATAGAAATACAATACTATGTGTAATTTTTCAGTATATTACTGATTGTCAACTCTGAAAGCTTATTCTACATTAAAAATAAATAAGGTTTATCATCAAGTCTAAATGTTACATTATACATATATGTTTCAATTACATTATCTTCAACATTCAATTCTTCTAAAAAATATAAACATATTCGTTTGTGTTTTTTATTACATTCTTATCGGACCTTTGCCGTAATTTATTACAGTAAAATCCATTTAGTACGAACACGGATTTTGGGAATTCACGGATATAGCAAAATTATCTTGGATCCTAAATTATGTAAATTTAATGAGTTCCGTATACGGATATATCGAAATACGGATATAGCAAAGTAATTAGATAGGTCCCAGTGACTTCGCTAAAACCGAGTTTTACTGTATCTGCATTTGTTAAGGTTGTCTTGCTGGCTCCTACGGACCAAACTGTTCCCTTCCCTGTCCTGACAATTGTGGTGATGGTTACTGTGACGTAGAGACTGGAGTGTGTTTCTGGTGTAAACCCGGGTACCACGGACCTCAGTGCGAATCTGGTAAGGAATTTGAAACAAATCACTTTTTCCTAGAATTTATTTTACAAGAAAGAGTCAATTCATTTATCTAAAATTAATAAATTTATCTAATTATAATAATTATTTTTTAAAATTAGATTTAAATCTTTAGGTTGTGTATCTCTATTGTGTATTCTATTTAACTTGTCTTTAAGATTTATATATTTCCTTTTTATGTAGTTTGTCTGAAAAATGTTAATAACAAATTAAAAAAAAATAACATTTTCACGCATTGTTTTGTCTGAAATAATATGCTTCCTCTGTATTTCACTCGTGAAATTCGTTATATCGAGGAGTTTCTGTGAAGTATATTTTTGAAAATTACAGACTCATATTAAGTAACTCAAGATCAGTTTGTAACTAATTTGGCAAAAATACAGTTAATTTGAGGTCTCTTAAGTAACGTTCACACATCTTTAACGAAAAAATCCATTGATTGGTTTCAATAGAGTGTGATCCGATCAATTACGGACAAGATTGTAGACACAGTTGTGGGGCCTGTCTAGGACATAAGCGATGTCATCACATCAATGGATCCTGTGTTAAAGGTTGTGACGCGGGATTTAAGGGAGAGTTTTGTAAAACAGGTGTGCCGTGATAATTAACCTTCATTATTTTATTGTGAATGAGTAGGTTTCGTTTAAGATGAAGATCTCAATGAATGAGAAAAGTTGATAGAAATATTTTCACCCAAAAAAGCTATGAATGTACCAGCTTTAATCATCTTCTGATATATAAACGGAAAAATTTAAATGCAAATTTTCAATGAGGCTAACTGATAACTTTGAAAAGGTTGATGGAACAGCCTTCTTTCAAAAGTATGTTCTTTCTGGTTTCTGTCAGGAAGTACATTGTAGTTAAATGTATGAATGATCAATTTTAGAATGTGATCCATACACTTATGGGTTCGATTGTATGCAAAATTGCAGTGATAGCTGTGAAAATAATACATGCAATTCGTTCACGGGTCAATGCCTTGGACATGGGGTAAGCTCATAATGAAGTTTTTATATGATAAATTTATCAACTATTGTCCTAATACTTTTATGCATATTATTCTCTTGAAACTATGTTGGAAAGGATAAATAATACACGTGTATTTGTTAGTCACTTTTTAAACGGAAGTGACGAAATTTGCATCGAGATCGATGTCAAGTACTGTTTTGATTTAAAGATAGATATGTTCTTTTGGCGAGGGAATGCAACGTTTTGCGATGCCCTAGTTGAAAGGTAGTACAAATTTATCATCTTGTATCTAATAAAAAAGGATGTCAATATTACCGCTACATTGCGAAAATTTTCAACACATTACCGCTACAGGTTGTTTTTTTTTTTTTTTTTTTTTGGACGATCATTATTGCTGCATATTATCAAAAGGATCAATGCCGAAAAAAAAACCTATTACCGCTACAAACCTGATCTAGCAATAGCAAGGAAAAAGAATTCAGTATATTTCATTCAGCATGCCTTGATTGAGTTAAATTTGGATCTGAAATCTAATCTAAATGAGTACATGAATGTACGAATTTGCGTTCTCAAGACTATACGATTTATCTATGGACAGTCCTTGATTGAAAAAAAAACAAAACTTTTAAAATGTTTTATGAAATAAAGTGGTATTTCAATAAAAAAAGGGGTAAAAATCATTTAAGTCCTAATTCCGCCTCCCTTGCTAAGCAGAGGAAACAGGACTTATGTATGTATATGTTGTACTGTACACGCTTAAGACGCTCACTAACGAGAGAGGCAATGTGGCGGTAAATTAAATTAGATTAAATTAAATTTAGCTGTCATGTATACTTGTAGCGGTAATGTGCATGTAGCAGTAATGGAAATTTTAAAAATAAAGCGATAATGATACGTACCCAAATTAAATGTTCTTACATTTAAGTACTTCAACGATTCAAGTGATGTAAACAGTCAAGTAGCAGTCATCGGAGTGATCGTTGCGGTTTTAATTGCACTACTTGTAACCCTTATCGTGTTGCTTGTACTTAGAAGGTAACCTCTACAACATGTAATTTGGAATCCATTTTTAGGACCTGAAAATATTTTTGAAATCGATTTTAAAAGAGTCAAATTTATTAGAACGAATGTATTTTAACATTATTTCCTTCATTTTGCTATTGTGATTTAAAACAAAAACAGAATTATTAAAAAAAAAAGAAACTAAAATACCACACATATTCTTATAATGAATAATATTCGTTTAAATAAAGTCTTAAATTTGTTCCATAGTTCAAACGAATTGAGTTAATTAAAGCAAAATCTTTTTACCTATTAGAACAAATCTGATAATTCGTTAAATTGAATTTTTATATTATTTCTACATCCATAATTATTGAATTTGATTTAACTAAATTTATTGCATTTAAACAAGTTTTGACTTTGTTTAAAGAAATTAAATTTGTTAAAAAACATTTGTGAATTCATTATGAGGAATTCGATTTATATCTTATAACAGATTAAATCAAAATAGTTTGCAATGAATAAGATTCGTCGTGAATATTTAATTTACAATTACTGCTGAATTCAGGAATATTTTTCCTATTTCTTAAAATGGCTTTCGTACATGTTACATATAAGATGCATTAATGTTTTAGCGACTATGTCAGAAACTACAGTGCTGCTATCCCACAAGTTGACATGGGATGGGATCTGATAGGATTCAGGATTGAGGATTCACGATAGAAACATATAGAAGTTAATCAAATCCTATCCTATCCTATCCTGTATCCTACAGCCAATCAGATTCGAGCAAAGGTCCATTCATATTTCAGAATAAATTACAAAAACGAAATACGATATAAAATGTTAACAATTATTGAAAGGAAATATTTATAAAAAAATCAATAGAGAATAAAACATTCTTTTCTCTAAAAACAGATTTACATTATAAACTTCGAGTAACACGGCGTACGATCTAACCGTAAACGATCACCGGAAGAATTTGGGAATGTAAACAACTATGAGTCCAGGCATCGAAAGACCGTATTTCTTCAGCTTGTTTGGATGATTTAACCGATTCTTACTTGTGTAAAAGTGTAATAACATGTTTTTCTGTTAAATATGCTCTGTTTGTTTGGATAATTCCACAGGAAGTTGAGGAACCGTCAACAGCGGACTTGAATAGAAGATGTGCGAGATCATGTAAGTATACTGTAGTTACACACTATACAATGTACATGTTTGCATTTTTATACATACTTATCCCTTTAAACAATGTTCTAATGTCTTAAACTATAAACATTTTATTGGGTGCGGAAATAAGAAGTAGTGTAGACAGAAGGGGGATAAATATTTACAAATACTTAGTCATATGATTCAATCAGCTATCAATGAGCTCTAAGTCTAAAACAATCATACGTATTATGCCTTAATCAGGTTGTTACTCTTATCATTTCCCTAATAAGGTCAGAAAATAGTTTCTTTCATTTCAGTGTAATTCATAATAAATGAAAGTGTAATCATCATGACCATTTCTAATACTACTGCTTAAATGTTTAATAAGCTAACTCAGCAGTGCACTTACATATTGTACATGTATGTATAAATTGATGTTTTGTGAGGTATGAAACATAAGTTAATCTTTTAATATTCATCATTACAGAGAATGGATTTGCTTGGACTCATGCGTCATCACAGTATAAGGCCAAATAAAATTGAAATCTTGGTTCTCAGGCCCGCGCGCATCTGTTTTGAGGCAGCCGCATTGCCGATTTTATTCTATTTTTGATAAAATAAAAAGTTGATATTGCGGAGAACAATCCGGGAAAAAAAATTTCCGACCTCATTTGTTTCGTAGTTTAGTATTCAAATATCACTTCCGGTAGCCATTTACAATGAGATTTGGCTACTTCGTTTGAAAATACATTCACACGGTGTAGTACCTAAACGGTTGCTATCAGAAAAAAATGCGCGTTCTGGGTTGCTATCTGAAAGTTGAGCGGTTGCTAGTGGAAAAAAATGGATGAAATTGTAAGTATTTTTCTTCGCTGTCTTAACAAAATGGTCAATAATTCAATTATTAAAGTTTAGCCGCTTGGTATTTCACCTTTACGGAACGTTACATACATTTTGATACTAACATGTATATTTAGAATTTTAATGAATTAAAGGATTGCTGATATATAAGACGAAAACTGTCGAAAGCGTTGGGCACATTTACATGCACGTAAGAAATATATTAAAATTGCGTCAGAAGTTTTAGATATTTGATAAAAGTGAATCGACAGTTCGTTGTGTATTTGTAAATATTATTGGTTATTTTAAATCATTGTCCAGTTCGATAGGTTTCTGAAAAGCCAGAGCGTTTTTATTAGGAGAATCTTATGTTACGGCTACTATTAGACAACGGCACCGGTAACTATTGGAAAAGGTTTAGGTTTTCAAATTTCATGAAATCACATCCTCAATTTACATATGCTGTGCAATTATAGTTAAGAAAACTATGTATATATTCTTTCTAAATAATTGACCTGTCATGTATGTTACTTTCGATCATATAATGACAAATTAATCGTATATTTATATTATGATGTAAATAGTGGAGTTTGTTTGTACACATGTACATGCACCCTGTACACATAGGCTTTGGAACAGGGGGAAGCTAAGCATAACCACCTTTTTTTGCAAAGATACATGTAGACATAATATATAAGATGCATGTAGACATAATATATGCACTGAAAACTTATATGCTAATCTTTTTTTTTTATTGGTGTAGCCCCCCCCCCCCCCCCCCCGCCGAACTTTCAATTTGCTGCCGACGCCTATGGCACATGCACACTCAAACACCCTCACACACAACTGTTTTGTGTTATCCATTAAACCATGTGACCATTCAATTTATTATATTATATTCCAGCTATGTTATTGTGCTAGATTGATTAGCTTCACGATTTGGAATTTTAACAAAATCATTATTATCGATTCACGAACCACGAGAGATAATTTGTCTCAAATATTTACGCAACCCACCTCTACAAATCCAAACATAAACCTACAAATTAGCAATCTCTTTATTTGATTAAAAAAAATATGAATTGAAAAATGAATAAAGCTCACATAAAGTTATAAAGTTTTGCTGTCCAACGTCGATAATTACTCAAGTACATGTAAAGTGCACAATGTACATAAGAGTAAATTACATTTATTACGATTTATGTACGTAGAACGTTCATATACTGTACATGCACAACGGGTAAAGCACGTTGAAGGTAAAAGGGGGGGGAGTAGGTCTTTTTGTTAAGAGAATTTTCTGTGATTTAAAAAAAATCTTTGCTGTAGTACTGTCAAAGACTCCCAGAGTCACATTAAGTCGATTTACAAGAAATATAAAAACCACGCTTTCCTTTGTGGCGGGGGGGGGGGGGTTTGTCTTTTCTTACCTATATAATTTAAAGAACTCTTAAAAGCCTAATGGGGCGAGGGGGCAAAGGGGGTCGATGTTTTGAATATTGCATGTTGGTCGTACAACGAACCAATGCATCGTACTTCGAAAAAGAAATACGGAATTAGAAGTATTTGACAAAGCTTATACTTTGACTTTTCTAGATATTATACATGTTTAAACACCCAATTTTATGTTAACGCCCCCAAAATCTACCTGATTCAAGATCAATAATATACCGCCTGTCAATCATTAAAAAAAACAATAGCTTCTGATTTGATTGACAGCTCAGCTACCTGTGCCTCCTGATAATCTGATTGCATGTTTTGAAAACAATTACCTGGTCACGCGTCAAACGCATTCATGTACCTGCATAGTATACACGCGGATTAGAAAACTCCAATATGTTTGAATTTTATTTCAAAAAATTATTGAAAGTAGATTATTTAAACATTGACATAATAGAATATTTCTTTTCTATCTTCATTGCTATTTGTCACTTGTAAGTTTTATATTGTCCACGTTTATCTGTAGAAAAAAAGACCGCGTCCACAGAAACCGGCTCTCATTGCCGTAATTAGAAGTCCGACGAATTAAATTATTTTTTAAGAAATGGGATATAAGAAAAATATTCAGCACAAATAAACGGCATAGCATAGTTTTTTTTAAAGATGTTTTATTTTGTACTGTGGCTACAATCCGCACGATGTTGCACAGAAATTGATGTCAGAATTAATACTCGAATTTCCTCTAGCGTCTGTATATATGCGTAATGAAAATGTGATAATTAATAGTAATCGATTCTGAAAAGAAGTGTTTCTAACCGTAACATTTTGTTAACAAACGAAGAATAAAAAATATGGAATATTTTGGACAACATTGTCGGCCATAAAAAAAAAATCCGATCGCGGTGAATGCATGTTCACATGCTCGACAAATCATAAGGTGGATCAATAATTTTTTTTATTTTAATTGTCAGACTTTTTTAATTAAGTGATATTTTTTATTGAAGATTAAAAAACGATAAATATTATTGATTTGTAGATTTTACTCGTGAATTTTTCTTTAATGTAAGGAAAACATTTTCTAAAATGATATACATGAATCTTATAATTTTTTGAAATTCAAAACATTACCATGATTACGATGAAAGCGTTTAATTTACAAATAAATTCCATATTAAAATAATTATTTTACGTAGTTTCACTCAAAACCAGACACAAAACACGTAATGTTGACCCTGATTACCAAACACAGACTTCCTGTGTAATGCTACATATACACAGATTTTTGACATCTTGGGTATTGGGGGTCTCCAGGTAAATAACACCACTGTTACTTTGACCACTCCCCCTCCTCAGGTAACCGTACGGTAAAAAAATTGGGTCTTTAAGTGTACATGTAGGCTACAAAAATTCCCAAAGATTCTAACTTAAGAAAGTGAAAGAAATAATTGTAAAAAAAAAAAATAATAAAATATATTATATGCTATTATACAAATATGGACTCAATGTAGGTCAATATGCATTTATAATGACCCAGGATGACAGATATTGACCGAAGATACATGTAGTATATCGACCGAGGGCGCTAGCCCGAGGTCGATATA